GAGGGGGGAGAAATATCTGGGAAGGGACATGCATGTCGGAGTGTTCGGCTGGCTGGCCAGCTGGGGCTGGGCTGGCCAGCGTACTCACGAACACTGTTCATCTGCACAGTGTTTTCAGGTAGTATAGTATTTTTTCCTCACAATAATCATCCGGAACAGTATTTTTGTTTATTTTTTAGTCCTGCCGAACAGCCGGAGGAAACGCACGGGCGCGGTGATTAGTTTTGGTCTTTTGGGGAGGAAACGCGGGAGGGGAGAGGAATTTTGGGACCGTCGCAAGGATGCTGCACGGGAGAGGAGAAAAAAATTTATTAGGCATGCAAGGCCAAGAGACGCGAGAGAAACTCCAGAACACCCTCAGAAGAAGTCGGCCAAAAATAGTTGAGAGAAAAATAAGGATTGTTTTCTGATTTTACTTTTTTTATAAAAAATTATATTAACTGACTAATTAGAAAAATTTCACGCGGATGATATATTTTGTGTGTGTTTGGATACAGCCCTGCAAGGCATTACCTACCAGGCGTCCAAAATTGGACGCACGAGATGGTTGGTTCAACCAGGTAGGTTTGGCCAACTTCTATAAACTTTTTTTTTGAAACAATGGCAGGAGCTCTGCCTTTCAATTAAGACGAATGAAGTTTATATACAAGCAAAAGGTAGCCAAGCGTGGCGCCAAACACCATGAAAGGTTACCCACCCATGCAACGCGACAGAGTACACACTACCATGAGTCATCGTTGCCGAACATAGTTGCAAAGCAGCTAGCAGCTCCGACTTCCCATGGCAAAACACCGACAACCCATCATAAGATGTCGGTCTATCGGCCCGAAGCAAGAGGGTCGCAGCAGGTCATCGTTGCCGAGCTCAAACGGCCCCGCAAAGAGCGACTCCGACTTCGCCAAGATCCCACGCCTACTTGCATGACGATTGCCGAAGCCTCTAAAGTGAAAGACCAGCCGTCGGAGAAGGAGAGTTCAACCAGCGTCATCGTTGCCGAACTACATCCCCGATCGATGAGCTCCGACTTCGCGCGATGCAGAACTCGCCGTCTCGCCTCAACCGGGCGCCGAGAGGCGGAGGACATCCGCGAAGGAGACAACATGGCCGAGACAATTTCCACGCCGACGCCTTTCAGAAGGGTACGACGCCGAATGCGTCGCCGCCGCTTGTCCAGAAAGGACCGGGTTTTCACCCGTGGAAGACATGGTTGGGGCACAAGAACACGCGCTCAACAAGGAAAACGGGCGCCCACAGCGTCGCCGCCGCATAAGGCTTTTCGCCCGAGGTGCCCCCCTAGCACATACGCCGAGCCAAGATGTCGACCGTAGCTCGCCGCCACCGCCGTCGCCATCACGCCATCCAGAAGCTTCTCGAGGAGGGCATCGGCCGGCCGCACCACACACAGCCGCACCGCGCTGCGTCGCCGCCACCCTCCGATCGGACAACATGCGAATGGACTTACCTCGCGCTGGCGCGACACCACCGCCAGACGCGAAGCCGCCGCCGCACAAGCACCGCCGATGACGCGACCGACCTCCGCCGGCCACCGTGAGAGGCGGTTTGCCTCGGCTGGACCTCCGCCGCCTTCGCCGCCATGGCGCCGCATTTTCTGAAACGAGGAGGCCGTCGCCGTCCATGCTACCACGGGCGCTAACGCCGCACACAGTGTGGCGTCGACTCCGACACGCCACCAGCGCCACGCCCGTGGCACTCGGTGCGGCTCGGCGCCGCCGCCCGGCCGCAGCGCGCCCGCTGCCGTCAGAAGCCAAAGACCGAGCACCGCAGCCAAGGCCGCCGCCGTCTGGCGCCATCGCCGTCGCAGACGCGAGACGCCCGGCGCGCCCGGGAAAGCGGCAGCGTGATTCGCCCACCGGCAGCCGGGTGAGCTACCGCCCGTAGTCGCGTCGATGCAGCCACGAAAGCTCTCGCAGACCCAAGAGCCACCGCCCGGGCGGCGAGGGCCACCGAGCAGCCAGCGTGGCACGCGCCGCAGAAGACCACAGCCCGCCATCAACACCACCACGCCTTGTTGCATCCAATGATCGCACCACGGATCTGCGCTCGGCAGAGACAGATCCGGCTTAGGGACGCCGGATCCGGGCATGGCAGGCCGGAAACCCCGCCGCCGGCCACCGCCCCTGCAGACCTCCGCCATGGCTGTAACCCCAACTTGGGAGCACCTCCGTGAGAGAGAGAGAGAGGAGGAGGAGGGGGAAGACCACCCGGCCATCTGCCTGGCCGGGCCACCGGCTGCCGAGAAACTCCGGGCGGCCGGGATGGGAGCGAGAGGGGGCTCGGGAGGCGTGTGGAGGAGCGGCGCGCCACCGAGTCGCCTACTGAGAGAGCGACGCTGGGGCCTCAGGATCAGCATTCACCCCTACCGGGCATATATGAAACAATGTGAGAGATATATCTATTTGTGAATAAGATGTAGTGCAGTTTTATCAAAATAGATTGAACTTTTTATGAAAAGCTTATGAGCCCAAAATACGTCACTGTGCTAGACTCCTAGTTTGTAGATTTGTATAACCGAATTTTGATATTATTGTAATTATTTTTGTGGAATTACCTGGAAAAATTATAATAACACCTAATTTTGGTTAGAAAATTCTATACACTTGCACGACAACATGTTTTTAGTGTATAGTCATTTCATAAAAAATTCAAATAATTTTAACAAAATTATATTGTGCATTGTCCATAAATACATATATCTCATTGTTCATAAATGGATATATCTCTCGTATAATTATATGAAACTACGCGAGAGATGTATCTATTTTGTGAATAGCCCAACTTTATTAAAATTGATTCAATCATTTATCTATAGCTAATATTAAAGAGGCAAAATTTCTACCATATTTTTAGTTTGGTCTGGCCTCCCACATTCGTACACGTTTTTATCACGGTTTTGTTACCGTCCACGGCTCACGGTTTTGCTACTGTCCATGGCTCGGGTTCCGTTCCTACAAGAGTCTCACATATGAAAACACACGGCTATCATATAGAACGTCCAAGAAAGATAGAGACACAACCCGATTGGGGAATCAAGATCTCACAAAATCCAAATTAAACCCAAATTGAAATTGAGGAAAGCTAACCAACACCTGAGACTCCGCATGTTGGTCATCACTGATATTTCATCGACGAAGAATCCAAATTAAACTGAAACACCTAGGTATTGTACTACTACATATACATACACATAAAAATATTTTAGAACAAAAAAATTCACAAACCAAAAAAAATCAAACAGACGACCGGATCCATCAGCTCTGTCATCGGCAAGAGGCAGCGCTCCCACCTGTTTAGCTCGCCTGCAAATTTGGCAATGCTTCAGCAGCGACTTCACAAAGCAGTTTTAGAGCTTCATCCGCCGAACGGTCCCTCGGTGCAACAGCTTCGTCACAAACACAAAGTCACATATTTCGCACAGAGAGGAGAGAGGAGAACCTGAAAAAAATAGCTTCAACCGGCTTTGCAAGCTCCCAGTGTGCACGCAGCAGACGGACGGATGTATGGTGTAGCACCGCTCTTCTTTTTTCTAGCATCACTCGGAGTTAGAATCGCTACTCACAGTGGTAAGAGTGGTGCTCCAATCTTCTCTCTTTTTAGGCACCACTCAGAGAACACATTGTGGAGGGTCTTAAGATAATGAATCGAGGCGAGCTAGCTCGTTATCTTAATGAGCTAGAACGAGCTGAGCCGAGTCGAGGTAGCTTGTTATCCAGCCCTAGTGTTGAGTATTGGCGTGTGATTTGAAAGGAGCAAAACTGCAAGCAAAAGATAGAGGTAAACATCCCACGGCACCAAAATAATACGAAACCACAAAAAAAAATTAGACTATAGTGACAAAGATAGGAATCAAGGTTATATTAAATATTATTTAGAAATAGAAAATTAACGTCAAACCATCCACAATTCTTTATGTATGTATGTATTAAAGTCAAAATATATCCTCGTAACTGCACACAAACGTTTCACCAACAAAATCGAATTAAGGTAGTCAACTAGTCATATGCTTCATTTGACCTCCACTTCAAAGTATTTTGTTGCAAGTTAAACTTACTCATGTTGTTACAAATATATATAGGATTCTTAAATTACTGACATGTGTATATAAGTGCACAGTATATTTTAATTACATTCCCTTTGTTCCAAACTATAAGTCGTTTTAATTTTTTTTGGTATATCTAATGCGCTATATATCTAGACATACATCATGCTAGATACATAGTAAACTGGTTGTGCTAGAAAAATCAAAGTGACTTATAAAAAAAACTTGACCTGCGGGGGGTTACGACGGCCCCTGGGTTTTTCATTAAGAAGAAGGATCTTCTCACACAGATCGAGAAAATCCCCGAACCTCCGCCCCTATCCTGACGCAGGAGGTGCCGTAACCCTGTGAGAACCGGGCCGGAGCCTTCCACTGCGCTTTGGCACATGGGAACGGGCGAGGGGATTTTTTTAACCTCAGTCTGAAATTCGCTCCCACGGAGAGTCGAACCCAGGACCTGAGGAGTGCCGCTGGGTCACCTAACCGTTTGAGCTAGGTGCCCTTTGACATCAAAATGACTTATAATTTGAAACAAATGGAGTATGGCTTTTTAAAATTTAGAAAACAATAAACATGGCAGCCAACCGTGAGCTAAACTCTGGGAAAATGAGGCGGCAAAATTTGGCGGGTGAAATTTTTGTTTTTGAGAGGAACGGGCGTGTGAAATAAACCGGCAAAAATAGACACCGGTAAAAATTTAAGCCCAAAACCCGCTTAAGAGAAACTGCCTCCCGAGTCCCGAACTCCCGACACTTATCTCCTCCCGCAGTCGCCGCCCCCCGCTTAAGAGAAACCCTATGAGCTTGACGGCGTTCGTCATCCTCGTCGAGGCCCAGCAGTGGGCAGCCTGCATCCCACGGGCGCTTCACATCGTGGAGCAGCGGTGGCATGGATCCGGTAGCCATGGTCGGATCTGTCAAGGAGGGCACGAGATCCGTCGGCGATGGCCAGATCCGTTGAGGACGGCACGAGATCCGGCAACCACTATCGGATGCATCGAGGAGGACGTGCGGCGGTGGCATCTGATGCTCATGTTGGCCTAGGCCCTAAACCTTTCGCGTGCCCTGCGTTAAAGAACGGTGCTCTCAATGGATCCTTCCCGTCCCCCCCCTCTTTTGAATTGCTCGATTTGATTTCGTGTTGGCCGGGAATTGATTTGATTCAGGGCCTTGGTAACCTGGAGACTGTCGACCATTGAAGAGTAGCTGCTGCAGGATCCGATTTTGAAGAGGGAGTCTAACAAATGTCTTTTGCTTGTTGCGTGCGTGCAGGATGCAAGCGGGAATGACGTTGACCTCAGTAGTTTATTTATCGTTAACAATCGCATCCTAGTGGTATGTCGCTGCTTTATTTTATTTTTACTGTGAGACGTAGACATCTTAAGCCATTTGCCTTAAGTTGCCATCCTGTGAGATAGCTCTATATATGAACTGTATTCTTTGCGTTGTGAAACACTTGAATTTATTGCTACTCGCATCTTTCCTTTACATTGAATTCATACAGTGTCAAAATAAATCTTTTGTAGACAGCTTACAGTTTCAGCTCAGTTTATACATAGCGGTGTTATTGTTGACAATGACAACACGGACTAGGAAATCAATTCCTTTCAAACGGTTAGATAATCTACTGCTACCTTGTGTGAACACACAAAGAAAGAAAGAGGCAATGAAAAAGCTCCCTCTTTGATATCATGTCATTTGTAGGTGTAGAGCGCGCCAGACGGCTCATGCTGCTGAAGAAGATCAGAGCTACATGCAGAGGCTTAAGAAAGAGTCACCTATTGTGTTATCTAGTTATTGTTGCAACATGGCATTTGCATTTAGAACTAGATGGATAGAGTTGTATATATAGTTTGCCACTGTAACTCAACAAAGAGAGTTCAGATTTGCCATCTCGTATATAGGGCTCCGGCCAACGCTGGTGTCTCTGCTGTATGTGTACGCTCTGTTCTCCCTTCTTCTACCTCTAGCCATAGTGTGTGGGGACGGACAACGCTTCTTCGTGGTCGGCACGGCTAGTGGGTGCTCGGCTACACTAGCGGGTGCTCAGCAAGACTGGTGAGTAGTCGACTCACCTGAGTCGGTGATCCTGTGGGCCAACAAGTGGTATCAAAGCCGTACGAGCGACATCGCCGGACTAACCTATCACAGAACCGACCAATTTATAAGAGCACAAGTACAAAAACAATCGCCGAAACGATCAAATTCTCGAACTTGAGCCCATATAAACCCGGTAGTCAACTGAAATCTCTAAGGATTTCAAACCAACTTGCATACAACCAAGATCACAATAATTCAACATAACATATAAATGACGTTACAACATTTCACAGACGCGTTTGCAAATAGATTACATCATCACGAGTCAACGTTATTACAAAACAAGTCTTGTAAAACATGCGGAAGCAAATAGTTTAACTCACACACTCGAGTTCAAATACACATCTTGGTTCACGATCACGACCCAAAAAGCATTTAGATAAGGGAACAGAGATCATGCCCATGATCTAGTCTTCATCACCGCAGGGTGGAGACAATACTTACGAATCCCCGATATAGAAGGTCATACGCAACAAGAGGGAAATAAACCCCGAGTGCGGGAATGTACTCACTAGACTTACCCGCTAGAAACCAAAATAAATGACACCAAGGATTATGCAAAGCTTATTGTAGTGGATCTGGTTGACACTTTCTTTTTGCAGAAAAGCATAAGTAATAATGATCAAATCTTAGCCTAGACTAGCAGTGACTTTTTAGCCATTAACACGATAACTATATTAGCTTTTGTACTAAGCAATCATATTATTAGGGTGCAAACATTAATAACCATATCGGTATTCATTGGCAACCTTATCATCATCATCCATTTAACCATATCGTTAAATTAATTGAATCTACGCTGTTGCTTTCTCGGTCAAGTTCTCACTATCCAGGGAGAGACGGCGATTGAATCGATTCCTATCCGGTGGAGGGGTATTCCTAAACACAAACCCCGCTTCTCCCATCGGAGTCGCAAACAAGTCACCTTTGGTACGATTCAAGAGTCGCGAGTCCGATCAGATCAACATTCTCAGAGAACCACTCTGCCAAGGTTGTTCGGGACTCTAACCCGCCTTTTGGACTTATGCCAATGGCTCTCCGCACATCCTTACTACCTCCGAATGTCGCCATCTTTGCTCGCCCCTACCGAGTCGAGCTACTAGGCTTCAGCGGTCGGAACGACTTATCCAAGCCAGCTAAGTGTTAGGCTGCGTTCAACATGACATGAGGACGTGACAAACAGTATCGGTCCTTAAACGACTTCAGACGGAGTCACTATGTTCAACCTACACAAGACCCCGCCCGGTCTTAATTCATTATTCACATGGTTCTTTTCCACGATAGCAATTATATAGCCAACCGTGATCCATCTCATCCTAAAGCTCGCAGTGACAGAAATCACGACTTCTACCGCACTAAGCATGGCTAAGCATATAACCCATTCACGAACTTAAATAGGATTCAAAGTCGATATCTCGGACAAGGAAGGATATATAATGCAGCAATTGGTTCCAACCAATTCCTATACTTAATGCATCATCAACAATAAAAGGTACTCAAAGTATTTGCAAAAACATGGGAGGCTTAATATGCTCAAGGGCTTGCCTTTCAGGAACGAGGAAGGTCGGTGGTCGTGGCACTCAGGCGAGATCCTCCATGGCGATCGCTTAGCGCGTCGACTTCCCGCACCTCGGGTTCCTCCTCTGATTGGCTCCCTCGAACTCCAGCAACGTCACTCCCTCCGCACACCTATTGCATGAATGCGCAAGATAAATATCATGGATGCACATGAACGATCGTCAGGATGCTCGGAGAATGCACATGTTCGTTGTAGTTTGCATATTCCAACTTAAGCCCTATTCAAAACACTTTACTTACCAAGTCTATACAACCTAATGTATAATTGCTCATCTTCAGTTAATGACCTAGCACCTGCACCTAAGCATATTTTCAAGTTAGGCTAACCCCCAAACAATCAACGATTACATTGCAACACATTCAATCAAGCATTTGTATTTCAGCAAATGAAGACTATATAGCGGTACATTAAACTAGCCATAGCTGGAGATGTATAATTCCAAATGACATGAAACAAGACAATCTGGAAAGCTTATGAAATTGTCTACAATTCATTTTTAGACCTCAAAGCATGATTCGACACTTTACCAGCTCGAATTTATAAATCAACAGAACTCTGTCCTCACAAGGCAGAGAGTAAGCAAAACAGGAACCTAACTTTAAACAGCTGTAGTTTCTAAACTACTGGGCCAAATGCCCTCAAATTTTGACAGGAGCTAGATACATAAGTTATCTACAACTTTTGTATTCAACACAAGCACAGAAAACCACATTATCATGGGGAACTTTCCAAAGTCTCCAGATCTGTCCAGAGGGACATAATGCAACAAATAATTGTCAACTTATGATATAAACGTTTAATTGGACAAAACCAACTTTACTGACATATCACATATATCACAAGAACACCAGAAAGTAGGATGTCCATCACCAAAACATTTCTTTTAATACCTTTCTTAATTTATTTAATTAATTAGGGAAAATAGTAAATATATATGAAAACTGCCCCATTAATTCTACAAAAATTACAGTAGACACTACATGCTCTAAATAGACTACCATAAAAATTTCACACCATTTGAGTAAGTATAACAACCTACACAAAAATGGTAAGGCAGAATGGCTTAAAATGGCATAATTAGGAAACCTTAGTGAAAAGTGTCAAGCAACAGATTTCATATTTTTCCTTGCATCCTTAAGGTACTGGGATACTCTCCAACAAATTTCATAGTCAATGGATTCATAAATAAATTACTAAAATTCTCACCAGAATCATCCAATGATAAAAGGAAAATCTATAACTCAAAAACTACACATGCAATGACTCTCAAATTTTAACCAGAGCTTCTACTAAGCATACTAGCTTACCCACAAAATTTCACAATTTTTGGATCATAGAAACTCAAGATATGATTTAAACAAGTTTGCATGCACTCAAAAACACTTTTTAAGTTCCTATTTAATTCATCCAAAATTTCTACAAAATGTGCTCAAGATATATTTTTCTTAAATACTAGACCTAACTGTGAGTCTAACAAAATTGGAAGTACTCAATTTGGATCTACCAATTGGGAGTTACAAAAATCACAAATTGGCATTCAAAACTGTATTTTTGAACTATCCTAAAGAACAACGACCACCACGTGTGGGACCCGGTATTGTCGGCCGACCCCACCGGTCAGCGAGATTTAAACAGAGGGCACGCAGCTGCGACAGCGGGAAGGCAGTAGCAGCTACCGACGGTGACCTCACCGGCTGACTAAAACAACACCAACGTGACCGCTTAGACCCATCTGCGTCGATTGGTACCCTAACCGCATAAACCCTACCGACCTCTAGGTACCTTTACCCACGGAGCTCGGCAACTCGACCATGGCGCGACGCACGGCGGCATGCGTGTTCGGCTATTGGCTGGACGGCGTGGTGGTGACATCATCACCCGAGCATCGGCGCATGACGGAAAAGCGTACTGGGAGCTAGGGAAGGAAGAGAGAAGCGGTGCGGCGATGGCCATGGGGAGCTCCAACTCCGGCGAAGTCCGGACGGCGGCGGAAGGCTAAATGCGACCCTACCTTGATTCACCGCCCAACGGCGTCTTTGGACGAGCTAGGTGAGATGATGGTGGAGCTTTGGGCTAATTGGTGGTGGCGGCGTTTGGCGGCGGCGAAGTGAGTGGCGACGGCGCTTGCTCTCGGCGGCAATGGTGGAGCGGTGGCTCATTGTTGCGCTTGGACGAACAGAGGAGGCAAGGAGGAGTGAATGGAAGGGTAGAGGCGCGGCTTTAGCAATAGACAATGGCGGCTGGGCCAGACGGCCGCAACGCGTGGCTCACTGACGATTAGACGGCGGCGACGCGACGGGCGATGACAGATCAAGACGGTCGGTCATCGTAGCTTCGAAATTTCATTTCGGTTTCAGCGATCCCGATCGACAAAGGTAATTTCAACGATGATTATCTCCTAAACCGTGATGATCTAGCTCAAGAGGTAATTAACAAAGTTGAACGTCTACATGTGAACTATAATTCTTACAATTGGAGCTCGACCTGATTTGGCTTTGTTTGCGAACTACTGAGCTCTAAACTAGGGTACATGAAACTGAAATTGCACTTAGGACTTAGAAATAATTTCAAGTGTTGAATCCACCTTCAAAGCTGACTTGTGGGACCTTTTTGGGCATGTTGTGCACATTTTCACGAGTTGGTCACAAAATAACTT